ACTTTTACAAAATTTCCATTCTTTAACAACAGCTAAATATTAGCACAAATACCTAATACAGGGATCAAGGAAAATAAAATATCAGCTATAATAGTATTTTTTCTCATTTTGCGTATTGATTATTTAACTGGTTAATGATAACTAATCTAAGGTGTATCCTTCTTCTAGAGTTTGATTTGTTCAATTTGAATCTTTTCCCGGAGTCACAACCTACCTAGGCTGCAGAATATCTACTTAGCAAAGCAATGAAGAACTAACAGTACCCACCACCACACCACCCACATCTGCCCACTTTTCCTTAGCTACTCAGTTTTCATGACTCACTCAGCTTTCCATGAAAGGATTCCCAGGTATGAGAGAAGGAGGAGGCTTGGGAGAATCCCAGCAGCTCTCTCTTGGCTTCCTGTGCCTGGTTTTCAAGATTATTATTCTATGAAAAGGCAGAGAAGAAGAGAAAAGAGCCCAGTCTAATTTTTATAACTGCAAAAAAGAATAACTTTCAATTCACTTCAAATTTTTTTAATATACTAAGTGGCTTTTCTGTAACCACCCCTGAGTTAGGCACTGGGATACAACAGTGAACCAAACACAATGTCCATATTCTAAAGAGATAGTCAACAAATGAGAAAAATAGATTGAGAGGTAGAGTGACTAAAAGAAACTTAACAAATGTGATTAGAAAATAATTTGAAGAAACCCCCCCACAACTTTTGAAAAAAGTTTAAACCTAGAGAAGAATGCAAAACTAGTTCAACGACTCCCTGTACTTAACCTGTATCTACCAATCACCGATTACCAATTTGCCAAGTAGAGAGGCTTTTGTTTTACTGCACCATTTGATACCGGGTTGGAGATACCATGAAAAAGCATTTAGTACACCTAACCTCCTGAACACCATGGCTTAGCCTGGCCTACCTTAGATGTGCACAGAACACAGTACCTGGAAAACACCGGCAACACAGGACACTGCAGAGTGCCGGCTGTTGACCCTTGTGATTACGCAGCTGCCCAGGGGCTGCAGCTCACTGCCACTGCCCAGAACGTGAGAGTATATTGTACTGCATGGCACTAGCCCAGGAAAAGCTCAAAATTCACAATTCAAAGTATAGTTTGTAGTGAATATGTATTGCTATTGCAATGAGGTACAGAGCATGGGTCTGCTGAGGGCAAGGGAGACCCACCATCCCCCCAAATCCTGGAGGTGGAGCAGGGTAGGGTACCCACAGAGCAGAAAGTGCAGAGTTTGAGGCACATTATGTAACACAGGTAGTTTAGCAGCCTGTGCCTTCCTGAAGGGAAAATCTGCAGAAGCTGCAAATTGTGTACATGACCGCGCAACTGTGCACTGGCAGAGTGACTCATGACAAAGCTGCAGGGGAAGTTTGCACAACACCTGCATTGAGCAATGGGGTTGGATGCCTACACTGGAAGCCCGTGAGTCCCTGGGAACTCTTGCCCTGACTAAAGATGGCAGCCGAAAGAGGGTCAAAGACACTGGGAGCTGACAAAAATGGTGGAAACTAACATACAATAGGAAGGCTGGATGTAAGGTCACGTGGGAAGTTATGAGCTGAGCATTCAAATTGAATGCCTGAACCCTACCATTTGAATTAAAGCATTCAGTAGGGCTTAGTAATAGGAACGTCTGCACTGAGGTTGCAAGATCTGCCTGGAGGTCTGTCAGGAGAAGATGGCAGCACAGCTGGCCCAGAGCTGTGGGGACCTGCCTGGCCAAGCACACAGACACATGAGAGGTGCTTGGAGCTGAACTGTGACCTGGAATGCTGAGCTACAGACTTCTGCTTTTCTGAAGGGCGTAAGGAGAAGTCACTGTTTTGGTATGGAGGCTCTTGGTATGGGACTTTAGAGCTTGGTGCAAGCTCTCTCCCTCTGGGCTTTTGGCGTTTGTATGTTCTGGGCCTCTGGCTCTGCTCCCCACACAGACAGGAGTGCTCATGGGACCATGAGATGCCGGGCCCACCAGGGGCTTAGACCCCACAGAGCATGGGAACCCACTCCTGGAGGCAGGGTCCCACACTGAGATGTGTGCCTCCCTGGGCTCCAGCCTCTGGGACAGTGTAGCATGGCACAGTTTCCTGGACCGCCACATGGAGACTGAGAGCAGCGCAACCCAGATCCTGAAGGAGACAGTGGCTGTGAGAGGATGGCAACCCTGATACCCACAAGTGCATGTTCCAGAGGATGGACACCCATTTGCATGACTGGCTGATGGGCAAATAAGGAAACAGGGAACTTCTGGGCATAGTTTTTGGCTTGTAGCCTTTTGAGGAGCAAGGGAAGTTCTAGGTCTTATGGAAGAGAAGGACTCAGAATAGAAGTGGTCTCAGCACCCCCAGGGTTGGAACCCTTTTTATAAAAACCTGTTTCCTTCAACACATATTGTTGAGTCATGTAGATTCAAGGTGCGGAGTGGCCGAGCCCCAGTTTGCATGGTTACACTTTCACACCACCATAAATCAAACAATCATGAGTTAAACTCTTGTAAGTCTGGGACCATTTGTACTTCAGAATTAATATCCCCAACTACCACCTTGCAGTCACCCTTGATTTTTGTCTTTGTCTTCAATAGTCAGAAACTCGACCTGATTCTATCTCCAACCAATGGCTCCAATATCTTCTCCTACCTCCACTGCCAGCTCTGTGGTTGAGCCCTCTATTACCTCATACCCAAATGTTTTCCAAGTGGGCCCCTCTGTGCCAGTACTTTCCCTCTCCAATCCATTTTCTACTCAGTGGCAAAGTCCTTGGGTCATATTATCTCTTGCTTAACACCTTTCTGAGTCATCCAATCTCTTTGTGAAGACCTGCCAGGTGCTGAAGGATCTGGGCTCTGCCTCCCTCTCCCACTTCATTTGGCAACCTTATCCTCCTGCAACTGCTTGGGCCGGGCCAGTGTCACCCTTTCCCTCATCTGGAATGCTTCTCAGCTCTTTACAAACACAATTTCTTCTTGTACTCAGGGTCTCAGTTTAATGTCACCTCTTGAGAGAGACCTTTCCAATTCATATAGAGAGCAAAGGCTCAGCAGGAGTGTGTCTTTGGTAGGCAAACTAACCAATCTGGAGCCATAAGTCATCTACTGAGCCCATATATCCCAGGAGACAGCATTCCTCTGTCCACTCATCCTGAGGCCAGGTGCCAGGCAACTAGGGACCATCGTACAGCCCAAGCCTGGTGACATTGTTTGTAGTAGCCAATCCTAAACTGTTCAGCTGGCCCTGTTTTGCCTTTTCTGAGAGCGGGAGCCTAAACCACCCCCTCCTATCTTCTGCCTCCTGCCCACTCTGGTGTCTTTCCCATGTGGCCCTGCATAGTGCCCATGCCTCCTGTCACTAGCACTTGTGAGTGTAATAAAGCTTTTATTTTTCTGAGCTTCTCTTGTGGCCACACTTGACTGACCATCTCATAGAAGAATACAGAACAATTTGCTTGTTTACTTTGCCTTTTCTCCCTTCTCCCTATTCTCCCTCCTTCACTCCTTTTCTCCTCTCCCTTTCTCCTTCTCTTCATCCCTCCCTTCACTCCCCAAAATATATTTCCCCAGCAGAATGTAAACTCCCCAAAGTTTTGAGTATGATATTTACACTATGTCTTTAATGCAGCGCAAGTAGTTGTAAGTGATTGTCAAATATTTCTATGTGCTGAACGACCTGGGCTCACATAGGGTCTCAGTTTAGAAATGTTTCTACTCTTCTCTTTCAGCCCCCCGTGGCCCCACCCACACACCATTCCAGAGAACAATATACATTGAATGGGCATGAACACATATTTATGGTTCTAAGCACAATGCTAGGCACATAGTAGATGCTGCATTAGTGGCAGGCTTTGCTATTCACAGCCTAATTATGTATTCATATTATCATTATGTATCCCATAGATCAGGGGTGCCTTTTCTTTTCTTAATATCTCCAGGTCTGATAAATCTTCTCCTCTCAACACATACGAATGTACTCAGTTGAACTCAATAGAACTACTATTTCTTTCTGTTGGTAAATATAAACAGGTCATCCTAGAAGATGCTACTTTGCTCAAATTCCTGTCTTCCCCATCCTCAGCTCCCCTCCCTCCAGCCTGGTTTTCCTTAAGAGAGGAGGGTGAGCATTCCTCATGGGGAACAAACTGAAGATCCAAAAGAAAGAAGGATCAGGGATGCTTTTCAAAATCTAATCACCCCCCAAAAACTATTTTCCCTTTCCTCCACTTGGCTCATCTTCCTGTTACCTATTCTATTTATTTTTTTCTTCGTTCTTCCTGATTTTTCTTTATCCCATCAACAATGTGGGGGACATACAGATATTCACAAATCCACCCAGTCAACAAACTGACCTGGGCACCACCATATTTGGCGTTCTGAAGTCCGGCGTGAAGGCCAGGAGGTGAGGTCCCGTGCCGGGGATCTAAGAGGAAGGTGAGTTAAAATTCTCTTCTCTTTAATTATCTTCATTTTCCAGTCATCCCACTATCTCAGGAACAATTCTCTGGCTCAACTCACGTCTCGCCTTCCAGAAACCTGAAGTTGGGGCTCCAACCTCGAGCTCCCTGAGGTCCCTCCGGTTCATTTAAGGAGGTGAGGTGAAATTCTGCAGCTTTTAGCAGCAAACTCCCTCTACACATCATTGGGTGTGCTCTTGACAACGCTGTCCAGAGGGCTAACACCGGGATTTTACCTGCAGCCCCGGACTCTGTCCCTGTATTGTGAGCCTTGAAGAAAAGAGAGACAGAGAAAGAGAAGGAAGAATCCCCTGAGTAAATGTTTCGCTTTGAATCTCACACAGAAAGCTGGTCGTGAATCAACTTGCTGAAAGGTAGCCTTCGATTCCTCACCCCCCGCAGAAATGTGGCCTAGAACCCGGGGAAACACCTAGCTGGGCCCCAGCATGCTGCAGCACACCTGACAGCAGGTACGGAAAGGCTGGGCCGGCTGCAATCCAGGGGCGGGTCTGGGAGCCCGGTCGCCCCGCCCCCTGAGAAGACTCCGCTCGGCTGGACTGCACTGGGTACCCGGAGCCATGGGAAAGCTGGTGGTGCTCACCCTGCTCGGGGCCGGCCTGGCCCTGATCGGGGAGAGGTTTTGGATGCTTAGGTGAGTTGGCGTGTTGATGGGGCATCCTCGGCACTCTTTCATCTTTGAAGTAAGATCAAGGGCTTCCCAGTGCCGCCTTCCTAGCCAGTAGGAAGAGTGTGAGTGAGCAGTTTTGGAACCTCACTCCTCAATTCCACCCAGCAAACTGAGGTGGAAAGTGAGCGAATCGCTTGCCTTTCCTAGGACTGTAGGGCAGAAATGCCCCCATTTATTTTCTGAAAGTCACCCACCCAAGCCCCGCTTCCAGGTTGCTCTCAGCATTCTGCTTTTGTAAAAATTTCGCTGGAAGCGCTGGGTTTGGAAGAGGAAACCAGGCTATCCCTGATGTTTGTGGCTGACTCAGACATTACCCCAGGGCCAGTTAAACACTGAGGAGTCCTAGTTGCAGAACTCCCCAGGTTAAGAGCTATTCAGACAGGAGGGTAATGAGCCTAAATTCGCAGGTGGTAACTGCTATGCTGTAGGTGTTTGAGCTTTTGAAGTGGAAGATCTAGTGGTGGTAGCCCAAAGTATCTCAGAAGAGTCAATGCTCAGCTAGGAAAAGGAAATGTTAGGTGACGCCGCACGTTTCTGAGTGGATCTAAAACCTCTGCTTCCCTTCAGTTGTAGTTGGGGTGCTTTTACTTATTTCTCTAAGTGGAAGCTGGAATCTCTTGAAGAGCCTTTGGTAATACTTTCTAGTTCAGCTTGAGTATGTTTATTGTAACATTTGCTCCCAGTGTGCCCAAGAGAGAGAATCATAAAAAAAATAATTATTATAAACTCGATCTAAGGCATATTTTTTAACAGTGATGGCAAGAGGAATCTAAGTGTAGAGCCTTCCTGAATACTACTTAATAAAAATTTAAACATATCCCTGGCATTTAAAAGAATGTTTCACTGTGGAAACAAGAGCACTATATTGAAAAATAATGTAGCCAATTGTTTAGATTGTGGTTAGTTTGATGAACTGCAAAGTAAGTCAGCATAAAAATTTTAAAATAATGAAGTTAAAGCAATGGCCACAGGGTTTAATTATTCAGGGAATTTGAACTTGGGGAAAGCAGTTTGGGGAGGAGGATGAGTCAAAAGGCAAGGCCATGGTGGATTAAGGGGTGCCAAAGTGCAGATTTATAACAGACGTCACTTTGTAAAATTAGATAACACATCTTGTACTTTTAAATTAATAATACTGTACATTTAGTTACTCATGCTATTAAATATTATCGTCTATTTGGGGAGCAAAGTGTTGTCTGTGTATAATTGCATTTTAGTCTTTCAATAATAACTGGGTGAGATTAGCTGATACAGGCACATTACCCACATAATATCCACATTATGTGAGTGAATGTAAACAAAAGGAGTAGCTTGCTTGTTTTATTGCCTATAAATGATGAAAGAGAGTTCATGAATATGAACTTAATTAAAGACCACGTTTAGACATTGATTTTGGAAGTCGTGCATTCACTTCCAGTACTATTGTCTTCCACAGACAAAAAATGAATGCCTTTCGAGAAGTGGAGCCAGTAGACCCCCATAACTGCCACCTCATTGAAGGAATTGGTATGTATGTGACAGTACTGAGAGGGGCCAGCAAAGTTTCTTGGTCACCACCCACCTGAGTGAGGCTGCCAACTGATTTAGTCCCCTGCCACTCCTCAAACCCCAGCTGCCCAGCCCCGGCATTCAAGGGGCTTCAGTGGCAAAACCAGCAGCTGTTTCTCAGGTCTCTTGCTTACCGATGTCCCTCTATCATTTGAACAATGTCATTGACTCGTCCTTGTCCTTTCCCTCACCAGACTCTCCTCCTGTCCCTTCTGTGACATTTCTCTCCTCCTCTCTGCCGTCTTCTCTTGCCTTTCTTCTTTTTTCTTCTTCTTCCCTCTCAAGGATATTTCTGGCTTCAAGTGCCACCTCATTCAAAATGTGTCTGCAAGTACCATGAGGGATATGACTTACCCTTTGCCTACCAGGACCTCACTGCCCACTGAGATGTCTTTAAAGAGATTAATGAAATTCCAGAGCCAGATCCCTAACCTCTCAAGCAGCAGGCCTTTTCCAGTCTAAAATCCACTTTATTCTGCTTTGTATTTCTGATATTTTCTCTCCACCCACAACCAGCTCTTCTTCTACACTTCCCTTAGGCATGACACCTCCATTCTCAAAAAGGCTCAGTTTGCAATCAAGCCATTGCTTCCCCTTCTCCCTCACCGTTCCACTGGACACACGGACACACGTTGACAGCCGCCTCCTAGTGCCCGCACACAGGGCTGATCTCTCCTGCCAGTGACTGCCGGGCCCGCTGATGTTGGCTCCATGCCTCCCGTTTTCCCCGGCACTCCCAGAAAAAAGTTTAGTTAGATTCTGTTTCACTGTTCTGGGACTGAGTTCTTTTCACTCTCTCACCTTTGTTTATGAAATTCCCTCCACTGATTTCATCTCTGCTTGCTGAAGTGGGCTGCAAATTTCCCTCCCACCTCTGAATTCTCACAGCACTCTGAAAGTCTGACTCACTTATGACACCTACCACATGCTTTATTTTATAGCTAGCAGTGTTTTCTCTCAATATCAGATTGCAGACTCCCTAGGGTCAAGGACTGTGGCTTATTTATCAACATGTGACAGGATGAGAGCATAGTCCATTGTAATAGGAGTTTGTAATATAGATATATGAAATCTGAGAGAATAAGAACCCGTTTAAAATTGGGTCTTTTCTCTCTCTCTCTCTCTCTCTCTCTCTCTCTCTCTCTCTCTCTCTCCCTCTCTCCCAATTTCTTAAAAAAAGTGGCCCAGCTGTTGTGCCCCTTGGTCTTAGAGGAGGTTTGTGCTACCGGCTAGAAAGCAGAAAGGATTGAAGACAAACTCCTTCCTGACTTTTGTTTTCTACAGCCTGAGCTCCAGCAAGGATTCTGATGGAGAAGGGATAAGAATATGTGCGTTTTTGAATAACAGGGACCCTTGTCCCACTGCTTGACAGTATCCTGGGGGAGAAACGAGACCTGGGAAGGAATGGCTACAAGGCACCTTTAGGGAGGCCCAACTCTCTGTGCTGGGTGTCCCAGCCTGAGCGAAAGTCAGGGGCTCATGCAGGACCTGGAAATGACAGAATTGTCCAAGTCAGCGATCTTCAACCCGTGTGCCCCAAGAGTTTTTTAAACATGCTGTACCTGACTATTTAGTCAGGGTCACTGACCTTGTTTCCCTTAGGTTGTCAAATTAAAAAAAAAAAAAATGACAACAGCCAACACATCAATAGCCATCTGGGGTGAATAAATAAAAATTGTACCTATTTTTTGTCATATCAATAAAAATATACTTTTTTGGTGTACTACAGAATTTTAGTAATTAGTTTATGTGTGCCATGAGATGAAAAAAGTCGAAAATCACTGGACTAGATGATCGCTAGTATCTAGCTACACTCTCAGATTAAGTAAATCAAACATGTTTGAGAAGATAAAACTACAGCTAATACTGTAACATGTAAATCAATGTACTGATTATCCAATATTTCAAAGAGAATGATTTGGAGGAAGCAGGATGGGAATAGAAGAAAAAAATGCCATGCTGCTTCTTGTATCTGGTAGCATATTTACATTTTATTTTGGAGAACTAAGCAAGTTAGAATGATCATTGGTCATTTGTCAGCAGGACAATGTTGATGCATATTTAAAAAAAAAAACAATACTGCCTAGTGTCTATGAACACTGCTGAGACCCTTACCAATGATTACATCATCCTCATAACTGACCTGGGAGATGGGTGCTGCCATCTGTCCTTGCAGATTAGGAATTTGACACACAGAAGAACAATGTCACTTGCCAGTGGCCCGGAACTAGAGGGCAGCAGGCCTAGATAATGAGTCAGGATGGTTTCTTCTGTGCATCGTACTCTCTGTTGCATAGCACCGCCTTTCTTACCTACTGCCAACACGTTTGTATTACAGAAGATTCAGGAAGTATGGTGGTGGCAGAAAACAAAGTCTGAGGTGCAAAAAGGTGAACTATTAATAAGTAGGGCTGATCAAAACAAGGCAGGCTGGATATTTAAGAAAAGGCCACTAATGAGATAATACTCATGAGACCGAATTATCTGATGAGTGAATGGCTTTATGAAGCAAATGATAAATAAACCACTAAAGGATTTTAGGCAGAGTGTGGTAGGCAGTAATAGGGTGAGAGGGGCAGGATTCTGATTTGTGTTTTCTTCATGACCCAGAATTTTGGGAGTTATTTTATTGGTGGAAGAAACTGTCTTTTCCTTTTCCTTCTCCAATATGCTTTCTGGGTAGAAAGGATGAGAGGTAAAAAAAAAGAAATCCAAGAATCGTATCTCATAGATCTTTTTGTATTACATTCATCTTTACCCCAAAGCTTTGGAGCCAATGGTTGTTTTAACCAGGCAATTATTTGGCTGCCCTTGGCATCTCCTCAAAGCTACACTTGAAATCTAAATGGCTTTATTAGGACTTGTCATGAGCAGGTTGGTCAAGGGACAACCATTGTGTTTTTGGTGGCTTCCTATCTTCCCCTCCATCCCTTTCTCTCTCCTGTAGTTTCCTATGTGTCCGAGATACATTTCTACTCCATAGTAGGTTCCATTTGTTTTTTCAGCAGGCTGTCGCAACCTTCGCTCCAAGATGTGACATGATTGGTAGCATTTGATAGTCATGCTTCGGCATGACCCATATCTAAAGGTGCCTTAGGGCATCCCCTCTCTGTCTTGTGTGGTCTCTCCGTAGTCTCTCTCCTCAGTAGCTTGAAGGTAGCCTGACTTCTTACATTTATGTTTAGGGCTCCCAGGGCTCCCAGGTTTTATGCAGAAAGTGAGGGAGGGAGAGGGAGAGAGAAGAAGAGGGGGAGAGAACCAGCAAAAGCTATGGCTGTGACTTTATACATCCATCCTATGGCATCATTTCTACCGCATTCTGTTTGTCAAAGCATTTATCTACTAGGAGCCATGCAAACCCCTTTTCCATCCTGGTTGCAGTCGTGACTTATTATATGCTTCTTTCCCAAGAAAAATGCTCAAGACCAACTCTCAGTGGAAAGAGATCTGACCAAACTCTTTCAAATGCATTTATATTTAGTAGTCTGTCTTCAAGCAATTGCCTTGGTAAAAGAGAGCAATTACTCAACAATTTCCCAGTATGATTACATAACAAAAAACTTTCTAAACCTCAACAAGTTGGAAAAAGAAAAATGCTAGGCAGAGAGGCCTTTAAGAGACCTTCACAATGATCGATGACTTTCCAAATGTCACCACTTGGTCCATAGATCAGGAAAATAAAGTGGAACCTCTCAGGACAGATGATAGAAGTCATTATTTAAAGAATAAATCTAGGATATCACTTTATTTTATAGTTATTTGCTTTTTTTCCTCTTGAGATGGAATTCCAAAACAAAAAAAAATCATATTGGAGTCTGACTCAGGTTTTATTGTAGAGTAGCATGCCTCTGGGATTCTTGAAAGTTAATACAGTTTCCCAAGAAAGTAGTTGCAAAAACTCAATGAAGTTTCCAAAAGAAATTCAAACTTTTGACTGTGAAATTTATCTCTTAAGTCTTCAAACATGCATTTTTGTGATCCTTTGCTTCTTTTGCAGAAAATGGCTCTGAAGATATTGATATACTTCCTAGTGGGCTGGCTTTTATCTCCAGTGTAAGTGTCTTCCATACCCCTCAAAAGCTCATGTCAATATGTGTATAGGCAGCACATCAATGTTACCGACTAAAGCTGCCAGACAGACCCCTACACACTCAGCCCACCTGCAGGTAAACCAGCCGACTAAAAAAGCCGAAACAGGATTCTGGAGGGCTAATCAGGGCACCACAGCAATGCTCAGGCTGGTTCCCTGTGGGCAATTTCATACTCAGTGGGGTCTCAGTAAATGTCTAATGATTTTTGTTCAAGTCCTAGACTAATCTCCAGCTCTGTTCTTTGCTGTCCATCCCCACGTTTGCCTTATTTGGCCAGGCTTAGCTTCGGGTAATCATTTTCGCACTAACTAGTATTCTCACCAGGCCTGCTTATACTGGGAGCTCAGTAAATGTTTGCATATTGACTGTTACCCACGTTACTCGATTCAAAACCCAAGCATTTTCCATCTTGGGTTCCCTTTCATTCTTTCCAGCTCTTTCAAAGAGAAGTACAGAAAAGCCTGCATTTTATTCCCAATACCATTTTCACAGGCTTGGGATGATCAGGAAGCTATATGAGGGACTGAATTTCAATTAATTAAAGTGCATATGTTGTAAAGATGTTGAAAATTATCATAAATTTGTTGAATCAGTTGCAATTTGAAGTGGGCTGTAAGATGTTGGAAAAGTAGATTGACTACATTTTCCTTGTGAATTCTGATTTCTGGAATTGCATGTTTTAATGTTCCATTTTGGCCACGAAAATGGAACTACCATTAGTTCCATGTACTACCAAATAACATGACCTTTTAGATCTATATCATTTTGGTCAGAAAGGGGTCACATATAATAATCCTTAATGGCCTGAATTTCTAAATTTCTAAATATGCATGATATAGTCAGGGTCTTGTTTGAATTTTAAATTGCTGCTGGTGGTGGTAAGTGTGGAGGCAGGTGGGTGGGTGGGAGGGACTTTATGTCTTCAGTTTTTCTCCAAAACCAAAGATAAAACAAAGCTGTCTAGAAATGCTTTTTCTTTGTTGACTTAAATTTTCTATGGACAATTTAGATTTTCAATGTTATGCCAAGTAGACTTTTCAAAATGATTATAAATACAGATGGGAGATTTCTGTGCTGTTAGGAAGTAATATTTGTAGTTCTCACTGTATGCTTCTTTTCTACTTTCACTGAAACTGAAAGTACTGACTTAGTGCTATATAGAAAATAGCGATTTTCATAACAAGTCATTCCATGAGAAATGTTAACATGAAGTTTTAAATAATAGAGCTATTTTTTGTAAACTAGCAAACAACTGGTAACTTACAAGCTAAGGGAGATGTTCTTTGTTTATTTTTAATCTTTATGACTATAATCAGTTCAAGTCCTTGTTCTTATTTCCTCTTGTCCCCCTTTCTTGCCACCCGAGAACATGTTTGGGAGCTGCTGATCTCAAGGCTAATTCTGTGTGATAGGTATTCTTAGTCCATTTAGAAAGGCCGAGCAGCCTGTTTGCTTCCTTACCTTGGTCCTTGGCATGCTTCTCTTTGACTGCACGTGTCAGCTAACTTTGAGTTCCCTGTGAGATCTCACTGTGATGGCACTTTAATTCCTGAGAAAAGCCTTCCCTAACACTCTTGATGGGTGCAGTGCCTCTTCTCTGGTCCCCCGGGTTCCTGTGCTTAGGCCCTTACATGTAATACCATATCTGATGAGTTTGTTTGGTGCTGTCTTTGTGGATTTCAAGCTCCTTGAGGCCAGGACTTTGGCATGTTCATGGCCATGCTCAGCACCGAACATACTATCTGGCATACGCAAGTGCTTGAATATTTACTGAATGCATGTGCTGGTGAATGAGGCCAGAGGAGGACTTCACTGCCTGTCCACACATAGCTGTAGTCTCTTGGGGGAAGTAAGATGCTTGTACCTCTGCTACCAGGGCAGGGATGGGCCTGAACAGTGTGAGTTCTTGACTTTGTAGGAGAGATTTCACAACATGAGTCCAGGGGATTTTGAGAGTACATATATTAAGGCTGGGGACAGTGAAACAAAAGAAGGACTTAGTGCAGAAGTAATAGGACAGAACCTAGGCATTGGCTCCCTAGAAAAGCTAGGAAAGGAGTAAGCCAAAGTGAGGCTGCTGTTAGCTCACTGTGAAGTCAGAAAAAAGGGGGGTCTTGGAGACAAGATTGGGGGTTAGCCTGGGCTGAGCTGCCACTGCCGTCTGCAACCCTGGCTGCAAGTCTCATGGGGACCCTTAGAGTTCAGGAGGAAGTAAAAAGTTCATGCCCGGGAAGAGGCATGGGCATGTTCTAGAGCGAGCCCACCCTGAGTCTTTGTCCTGAGAGCTTTTCACCTTTTTTCTGCAGGTGAGAATCTTAGGGGAAGGTTTCAACAGAATATTCATCAGCTTTCCAGGTGTACTTTTAATATGCTGGTGTGTGAAAATGAGTACATAGGGAGGTTTGGGAATATTCTTTGTTCTGCTATACTGTTTTACTTTTATCTTGGGTCTGTCTGGCTTTTAATGGGATTTTTGTTCATTTGTTCCCCTGACTTATTCTGTCCTTGGGTTTAGCTGGCATAAGACATTAATGGGATCTCTGTTCTCTATTTCCCAGGCTGGGGAGATTTAAGCTATGTATTCTCTGGTTAGGGAGGAGAGGTATAAACCACTTGCTCTCAAGTGTCCTTGGTTAAGGGAGATAAGTTCTTGCAATTCACCAGCTGACTGTAAGTTGCTCAAACTCTGTGGCCTTGTGTAATTTTCTTGTCTCATTTTTCCCATTCTACCTGCCCAGAAACTTTCCTGGCTTCTTACTCTCCTGCCTCACTTCCAAGTGATTTCCAGCATTTTCAGTGGTGAATGATATAAAAAGAATTGTGTACAGTCACTTGCCACAAATTCTCACCCAGCTGCCTGAAACAGAAAACCAGTGAGTAGGAAGCCATCTTATCAGAGGTGCTTCATTCATCATGACACTTAATCTAGCCAAGCTTTTGGCAGTGGCCCGCCCATATTTTCATATCAGATTATTTTCATTTCTAGAATAACCAGTCTTTGCACTAGCTGACAATGTTCTCATGTACCCCCAAACTATCATGGTACTTGCTTTGGTGTTCTGCCTTGAGCTATCTTCCTGGGCAACATTCTTGCCTATCAAGCCTTTCTTTATGGTATGGTGAAAGAGGCTACAATTAATGATCTGAGTTATTTAGGCAATAGACTTCTCTGGGCTTAATTTTCCTCAGGTGAAAGGTAAGGTTTTCCACAGGTGGAAAGGAAAGGATTCAATGTCTCTGACATTTTTCCCCTCAATACTACCATTATCTAATGCACTGGGCTTGGTGACCAATTGACTATGGGTTGCAGCGGTGAGTGGGGTGGGGGGTGGGGAAGGTAGACCAGGCCTGGAGTGGGTCTGCCTAGGGCCACCCTGCAGTGTCTGTGTTCTTGGTTTTGTGCAGGAGCAATTTCACAACACAAATCCAGGTGATTTTGAGAGTATGTCTATTACAGCTGGAGACTGTGAAACAAGAAAGGACCTGAGCTAGAAGAAGCAACAGGAGAGAGCCTAGGCGGGGCTGCTTTGGCTCCTAGAAATGTTATAGGAAAGAAAAGAGCCACGATGAAGCAGCTTTGGCTCACTGAGCAGTCAGAGAAAAGGGGGTCTTTAAGACAGGTTCGGGGGGTTAGTCTTCCATGAGATGCTGCTGCCCACTGCTACCCTGGTTGCAAGTCTTGTGGGATCCCTTTAGTTTAGGAGATGCATGCCAGTGGGGGAAGAAGAGGGAGAAGAGAAAGGTGTGGTTGTGCTCCTGGGAGAAAGAGTGCCTGCTGGGACCTCTGTTTTGAGGGTTTTAAAACCTGGTATTTTAGAGTAGATCTCAAGAGAATATTCATCAGCTTTTCCAGGTGTGTCCTTTCAGGGTCATGGTCTCTACTGATTGGTGGGAGCCAGGACAGGGGTGTCATTAGTCATTGCAGTTGGTCCTGGAGTTGGCCACCTGGTTTTGTTGCTTTTCTGGGCTTGGAGCTGAAAAACAGCTGAGGCCTAGATGTTCTATCTAGGGAGGAAAGGCCAGGGGGATCTAAACACCATGGTCAGTGATATGAAAGGTCAGGGATCTAAAATGCCTGGCCAGTGATATTCCAGGGGGAGGATATGCCAGTTTTGCCTGCTGCTAGGTATCCAGGCTTTCTGCCCTGGTGCCCTTCTGTATCAGGATGTAAATTGCTCAGCCACTGTGTGCAGCTGTCTGCCTCAGTTTCCCCATTCTTCCTGCCAAGGAATTTTCCTAGCTTCTTACTATCCTGTCTGATACAGACTGGATTTTGTAGGCTGATATTGGGGATGCCCTTAAAGGAGCGTAATGTAAATGGGAGGCAGGACTTGTGAAAAGGATGTTGATTTTGGTTTTGACAATTTAATTATGAACTGCCCTCAGGAAAAAGTTGGGAGGGAATGCAAGCTAGAATTCCAGAGAGAGATTCCCAGTAAATGTATAGATTTAAAAAACACTGGTGTAGGAGAAATACCAAAAATCTCATGAGTAAGATCTGCAACGAAAGAATATAGAGCTAGAAAGAAAGAGGGATGAATGAGGAAGAAGAGAAGCAAGACTTCTATTGGGAAATTCTATATTTTTGGAGTTTTGACCAGAAACAAAGGGGTATACCATGATGTCAGATGCCACAGACATACAGGTAAGAGAAAGTTGAAGGGTTATCAAATAAGATATTTTGGAGGTCATTGATAAGACATTTATGGAGGCATTTCTATAAATTATAGAATACTGATTTTAGGCAATTAGAGTTTGAGCAAATTAAACCAGGTAACAAGATCAAGTGATGTTTCCAAGAAATGTGATGGTGAAGGGAAGGCAAGCTAAATGCATGTTTGAAGAAGTAGTAAACTTAGAGGGTGATTCATTTCAAGGAACAAGAAATGAGCAATTTTTCAGGCAAAAGAAGGGGGCATTGCTGAAAAATAAGTGGTTAAGCAAGAGAGAGGATATAATTTCTAGACAGGCCCAAGGGAACAAGGAACCAAACAAACACGATGGAGTGAAGAGCTGAAGAAGGATATTCTTTGCTTAAGAAAAGAATGAGAAAGAAAGAGAACTGATAAAACTGAAGAATTAGAGACAAAAAGCAGGGAATCAGAGGAAATTTATGTTGGATTACATTTTTGTTTATGATTTTTCCCCCAGAAAAATAGGAGGTAAAGTTATCCATTGGAATAAAGAGGAAGAAGGTGTGGGATCTGGAAGATAAGAAACAAATTTAGAATAGACACTTGGAGAAATGCAATAGATTACCTATTAGAGTCTATGGCCATAGCACCCTGAACATGTCTGATCTCGTCTGATCTTGGAAGCTAAGCAGGGTTGGGCCTGGTTAATAGTTGGATGGGAGATTACCTATTAGAATAAATAAAAAGGCTGATAAACATCACTGAATGTCTGGTTGAAGCTGGGATAGTAACTTTGTGTGTAGGTTTTTCTGACCTGATTTTAGACTAGCCCTGGAGGTGGACCAGGGCAAGGGGAGTTGGTAAGGAATTGGTGAGGCAGTAAGCAAAGAGCGTGGCTTCCTTAGAAGACTAGCTGCTGATTGATGATAGCATATTTGTGGCCTGGAAGGAGAAGTTTGTGGCTAGGGGCATGCTGCTCCCTCCCCAGGTGTGATGACTTAAGGAGAATATAAAAGGGCATCACACCTTCTCTGGTGCATTTCAGCATTGCCTGTGGGAAAGCTGGTTTCCAATAAGATTTAGACATAGAAGGATTATTCTAAGAAAAATGTACAGATGTAGATTCACTCACCCAGGTGAGAGGTGGGAGACAGTGGAAGGGGCCAAGAATAGCATTATTATAAGTAAGAGTGTGTCTGTCTCTGTGTGTGTATTTATAAGAAAGGGAAGGGTAAGAGAGAGAGACAGAGATAGAAGATAGAGTAGGAAAGAGAGAGTTTATGTTGAGTACAAGTGAAAATAAGAGTTCAAGAAAAGATACGAGGTTGTTGATATTGATATATATCAGAGTGATGGGGGAGGGATGCCAGAAAGAAGTGAGCTGAGTTCTGTAACTTGTGTAGAATAAACCAACCCCAAGACCTGACACCATGACCAGTGATGTTCCAAAAGCCGAATACATTCAGAATGCCTATCATCATTGATTGATGAACACCTGGTTCTTCCAATAAACAGAGCCACTGTCCAAGTTACTGGAATGAAATTTTTTGCATTATTTAGAGAAAAAGATTCATGTTCAAATTTTCAGACATATCTATAAGATCAAAATAGGTCAGAAACAGTCAACCTATGTCAACAGTCAGTCTCTCTGAGACCGGTTCCCCTATGTTAACTCTTGACTAATTAATTATATTATGAAATACAATGGATGTAGGGATGGAAACAATACAATGAAACCATACACCCCTTCTCCCTGCATTGAGGAAGGTTAGCTACAGAATATCAGGACTGGGTAGACTCTTAGCCATCACACACTTTAACTTCCTCATTTCCTAAACGAAGAACCTAAAGCAAAGGCAGGCCAAGGCACTCACACAAAGTAACACAGCCTAGTGTTTTGCATTGTCCATTTCAGCTAACCCCCTTCTCTCTACATTAAATATTGACTCTGGGTTTTTTCCTTTCCCAGTGGTTTTGATGACATTGGTAGTCCCTCAGATCAGATAATGGCAACCTGTGATGGTGGGTGGGGGGGCGGGGGAGAAATCCCAGAAATCGAATAGAAACATAGAGCTTTGAGATTTTAACTTCCATGTGAAAACATTGTTTTGATATGCATATATGTGCATACTTGTTCTCTATTTTTTAAAGGGATTAAAATATCCAGGCATGCCATGCTTTGCACCTGATGAGCCAGGACAAATCTTCATGATGGATCTGAATGAGCAAAACCCAAGGGTCCAGGCACTAACTATCAGTGATGGTTTTGACAAAGCGTCATTTAATCCACATGGGATCAGTACTTTCATCGACAAAGGTAAAGCCTGAAAGCTTAGGAATGAGGGGGGATGAGGGAAACACAACCCACTCATTGCCAACCACTTAACCTTCATGTGAAAGGAGAGACGATGCTCTGTTACCATAAAAATGGACATTTGTAAAATAATAAATGTGAATCAACACATTTTGAAGCATCACATTAAAGAAAGGAGACTAGAAGTGAGCCATCCCTCTTCCTCCTACCCGCTTTTCTTCTCATTTGACCATCAGAAGAAGTTTGCATATTCTCAGAAACCTAACCTAGAAATACAAAACTAAAACACCTTTGAAAACAATTGTGTGATATTAAAAGCATAACATAAAAGAAAAAATAGATAAATCAGACTTCACCAAAATTAAAAGCTTTCTGTTTCAAAAGACATGATGAGAAAAGTGAAGAAACAGCCCAAAGAATGAAAGAAAACATTTGCAAACCATACATCTGATAAGAGGCTTGTATCCAGAATACATAAATAATTCTTACAACTCAGCAATAAAGAGACAAATAACCCAATTAAAAAATGGGCATAGGATCTCAGTAGACATCTTTTAGAGAGATATACAAATAGCCAATAAACACACAAAAAGCTACTCACTATCCTTAGTCATTAGGGAAACACAAATCAAACTGACCGTGAGGTACCACTTCATAATAACAAACAGACTGTAACAAACACTGGCAAGGCTGTGGGAAAATTGGAACCCTCACACTTTGCTGGTGAGATTGTAAAATGGTGCTGTCATTTTTGAAAGCAGTTCAGCAGTTCCTCAAAATGTTAAACATGGAGTTATGACATGATGCAGAAACCCTACTCCTTGGCATATACCCAAAAGAATCAAAAACAGAGGTCCACACAAACACTTTACACAAGCGTTCATAGCAGCATTTCTCCTAATACCCCCAAGGTGTGAACAACCCAAATTCCCATCCTCTGGTAGAAAGTGGTATGTTTGTGTAATGGAATGTTATTTGGCAATTAAAAGGAATGATGTACTGAGACATGTTACCACATGGAAGAACACTGTAAACATTATCCTCAGTGAAAGAATTCAATCACAAAAGGCCACATAGTGTATGATTCCATTTATATTGTGTCCAGAATAAAAAAATCCATAGAGACAAAAACTAGATTAGTGACTGGCTGGGGCCGGGGGTAGTGGGGAACAGGGAGTGGCCGCTAATGGGCATGGGGTTTCTTCTTGGGGGGATGAAAATGTTCTGGTGCTAATCAGTGGCTATGGTTGTACCACTCTGTGAATATATTAAAAAACACTAACTTGTACATTTTAAAAGTATGAGTTATATCTCAAAAAAAGCTGTTATAAAAACAAAACCTATGTATTAATACATTGCATATGCTTTAAAGCAATTTCCAATATTATTTTTACTTGTGGATAATTCATAAGTACAGATTGACTTAAACTTTAAATATCTGTGGGTCCATAGAGCATGCAGAAAATAACAACAGTGAAACCTAACTAATAGTAACTACATAAGGGAGGGCCAAATGGAAGTGTTGCAATTCAGAATGTTTAAAGTAATGGTGCTTTAATCCGAAACATGTGCTGGAATTACAATGCATTGTTCAGTATAAATCAGCTGGACTGATTTTGTGAATAAAAAGGAATGATTCATAATTATTTCTATCCACTTACCCAGTAACTTTCATCTGCACCAACAGTGACTTGTTCAATTTTAAATAAACGGCTACCTTTTAAAATGCTTGAACACTATTTTATTAAGTAGGTTAAATATTACCCTGAAATCTTATACAGGGGTGAGCAAAAATAGATTTACTGTGCCATTGTGACATTCTTTTGAATTAATAAAGCTATTACAATAAATCATGACTTGCATGTCTTTCCATACAAAGAGCTGTAAATTTACTTTTGCTCACCCCTGTATGTCTGTTTATTTGCTTAGCAAGCCCGTCTTTAAAAGGCAATTGTACCTAACAATTTTCTGTTGCTTAGTTTACAAAGCATTTCCCTGTATGTGTAACTTATTTATTCCTCAAAATAAAACCCTGGATCCCACCTGACACATGTCCTCTCCCCACCCCATGCAGTCAACCAGTCACAATGCTCTGTCCAGTTTCCCTCTTCAGTATCTGCCCAAGCTGTGAGCCTCTCCCCATCCTCACTGCCACCATCCCAGTCCAAGCGCCGAACATGTCTTTCCCATGACTGCACCTTCCCTCTTATACTACCTCAATCCCTTTTCTTATATATATATATATCTTTTTTATTTTTTAAATATTTTATTTTTAGAGAGAGGGGAAGGGAAGGAGAAAGAGAGGGAGAGAAACATTAATGTGTGGTTGCCTCTTGTATGGCCCCCACTGGGAACCCAGCCCGCAACCCAGGCACGTGCCCCTACTGGGAACTGAACCAGCGATCCCATGGTTCTCAGCCCATGCTCAATCCACGGAGCCACACTAGCCAGGGCTCAATCCATTTTCATAAGCAAGAGTTATTTTCAATGCAAATCTGATCATGTCACTTCCTTCTCAAAAGTCTCCATGTTTTTCCCATTGTTCTGAAGATACACTGCAAATCTTCAAAATAACCTGGGTTCCCAGTTGCTCCTCTGACACATTCTGCCATCTGGGTGCCCTCTCCAGCCTCCCTGGACATTCCTCTCCCCCTGACTCTCTGGACCAGCCACACTGGGTTTCTTTTAGTCCAGTACAACGCCACATGCCTCCGGGCCTTTGCAATGGCAATTCCCTCTGCAGGAATGTCTTGCCACTGCTTCTGGCTTGCTTTTCCTCATCATTCAGGCCTCAACTTAAATGTCACCTTCTCAGGGACGCCTTCCCGACATCTTGTTTCAGTATACAAACCTGGTTTTAATTCTTCTCCGTGTACTTCTTTTAGCACTCATCAAAATGGCAACTAATGTTTCTTATTAATGTTAAAAGATGCCAACCTTCTTTCCTTCTCCCACCGTTGCTCTACAGGAGCTCCTTCTTGGCTCCTTTGGAGCCAAGATTAACTGTCCCTGCTCGAGTGGCTGCCACTCTATGAAGAAGTCATCTCCCACTTCAGTTTCGTTTATTTACAAATTCTTTCCTCCCCATTTTCTTCTTTAGAATATAATCACCATAGAAGCATATGTGATGTGTCCATTGCTGGATTCCCAGAGTCTAGAACCATATCTGCGCTCTATGGACATGTATTAAATGAATAAAAGAATAAATACTATGAGACAGGCAGTACAGACATCAATGCTCAGTTTTATAGATGGAGATGTGGTGGTTAGAGAAACGCAGTGAAGTGTGGCTTCACTCCTGTCAGTAGTAAGTGGCAGCTGCAGAACTAGAACACAGGTGGTCTTACTTCTAATCCTCTGTTCTTTACTCGGGTAAAATTTGGGCTCCAGGCTCTACTTGAATAAGATAAAAGAGACCACTTTTTGGGCTGACACCTAACTAGACATATGATGCTTCACTGGAGAAGGTATAATGAGTGATCAGATTGAGTTGGAGCTATTTTATTGCATGGGATAGTGTTAGAGGTGAAGGTATATTTTTTGGGGGGGCGGGGGGGAGTGAGAATTGGTTTGTTTATTTTTTCAGATGGGACTAGTTCACAGTTTACAGATTAACACTCAAGCATTTAATCAGACTTTCAGAACCGGAGCATATGATTGACATTTTATTAGTTACCTCCCTTAATTGTGCATTTGGTTCATAAGGCCAAAACATCACATATAAATTGGAATGAAATGAGGAGGCAGAGAAAAACATCATTGTCTCCAGGCAATGCTTATATGAGAGGAGGGGTCCAGTGGAGGTCTAAAGAAGGGCAAGGCCGGGACAGCACATGCATTGTTCAGGCCGTGTCTGGCAGAGCATCTGGCTGAGTGCTACAGTCCAAACCCCTGTCCCCGGAACAAAGTCGGGTCAGACTGAAACAAAGGTTCATCTGTGAGGGAGCCTCTTTCCTTAATTTGGGTCAAGGTGTCTATGTGTTTTGGGGGCCATCTCAGGGCCCAAGTTTGCTCCATTATGTGCTTGGAAACCCCACCAAAGGAAGGAATAGGGGAGATGAACTCAGGTCAAGTCTTGTGGGGGTTGAGGGGGAGTGCGTGGTGGGCCTTTTCAAACTCCAGAGCTCATCTGACCTAGAGTTCCTGAGAAATCAGAAAACCATCCTTGGCGAAGTTGATTACTACCCTCAATCCTATTCGCAGCAGTTCTCGTAGCAGTATGAAAAGTGATAGTTGAACATTCTTGAGGTTAGTAACACCCCAAATCAGCTAGTCTCTTTCCTATTGCACTCATATTTACATTCTGCGTCCATTAGCCTCACTAAATATTGTTATTGCAACCTCAGCTGGTTGACTTATGTTGAAAGTTTGTTCTCTACCTGCCAAGTGTTGCTTATTTTAAGAAAATCACACAGCCCGACAGTTGTTGAACGTGTGTTGCAATGTAGGGGACTCTCACCGAAAAGCATTCTCGGCAAAGCTTTTTTGGTTTGTCCCCATTTCTCCTGGTGAGGGGCCATTCGGAGAAACCACATCCGTGTTTGTGCACCGCTGTAGTTCTGTCTCCTCGTGTTAGAAAGGAGATGCAGGTAAGGGTGAAGGGACCGTGTAGAAATGTCAGGGCTTGGCTTAGCCACTTGGTGGTGGTAAAATTGCCAACAAGTCATTTCCCCCTCTGAGTCTCAATTTCTTCAATAAAATATGGGTACTGACATTTATCTGACTTACCTATGAAGTGGACTGTGGGGATCAAATGCAAGATGTGTGAGAAAAACCCTTGGACATGACCGAGTTGTACACCAAGTCTAGTAATAGTTACAACAGAAGTAAATTTATGAAAAATGATGTTTTTTCCCACTTTAGACCATACTGTGTATCTTTATGTTGTGAATCATCCCCACATGGAGTCTACTGTGGAGATATTTAAATTTGAGGAACAACAACATTCTCTGGTACACCTGAAAACTATAGAACACGAACTTCTCAAAAGGTATGGAATTAAGGTGTTTTGCACTCTATTTATTTTGCACCTCTGCTGTGTGCTTTGTTTTCTTGGGCTCAGCAGGCTTTCTTAAACTTTTGTTCTGTAGCATTGTTTCCTGAAGCTCTCTAAAGGTTCCCATGGTGATACCGCCCAGCACCTCACTGGAAATTGTTGTATTAGTATTGAATGTCTTTATGCTCTCCAACTTCCTCAAAGCATTTTAATCCTATACAGGTGCTCAGTTAGATTCCCAGCTCTAATTCCATTCTCTACCCCACAACAATGCGGTACCGACTGTGGGGTTCCCTTTAAACACCTCCACCCATTTCTAGTTATCTTGGTAGGCTGTGTTCTGAGGGCTGCACCCACTGGGTGTTATAACCAGCCTCCAAATGGGCTCCTCCTTTGTTCACTGAGAGCTTAAAGGGAAATTTTTAAAGAAGCCTGTGGGCACATATGAAAAATTCTCATTTATCAAGTTTTGACGATATGCCAGGCTCTGTACCAAAATACTTAATTTAATGCTCACAATAGCCTTTAGTAATAGGCATGAGTAAACTGAGATTCAAGAGTTTTAGGTGAAATAATTGCCCATGTTACATAATTTGTAAGTGGCAGAACCAGAGTGTCAACCTAGATCTGTCTGAATTCAACGGTGGGCTCTCAATCACAATGAAAAACATCTTCCTTATTGTGTTGAAAAAAAGGAATAGTACATTTTTTAGTGGATAGGTTGGTTGCCTGTTTCAAGGCTCTCACAAACAATGAAGACTTTGTCTTTTATAAGATGAACCCAACACTGAAAGACGGGCTCTAAAACAGTAGAGGTTAATCTTTCCATGAGATAGAAGAATGGGAAAAGAAAAGAAAGTTCACCTTCTTGTTTTTGTTCTCTTTCTCAACATTGTGTTTGAACTTCTCCCATAGAATCTGGGAGCAATTACTGCAGTGGGCAGAAGAAGTAAGTGAAGTTGAAGTTCCTGAACTTCTCTCATGACCCACTGTGCTGGGTTCTGAGACAGAGTGGGGACCAGGACAGCCATGGAGTGACTGAGAAACTGGATGAGTCACTTAACCTGTGCTTCAATTTTCTCAGAAAATGCAGATTCTCTTACTGGCCTAACTCATCTGACCAGGCATTGTGAGAATCAAGTGCAATAATGTATGACCTCACAGGAAGAGTTCCTCACAAATCACAGCCTGGAAGAAAGCTCCATACAGGACTACTTAATCAGGGAGTATAATTCCAGGATGCAAAAGTGAGAGACTAGCCCAAGGCGGGGCAAAAGGTGTTATGGGTTGAACTGTTCCCTAAAGAAGATATATTGCAACATTAACCCCAATATTCAGAACATGACCTGATTTGGAAAGAAGATTATTGATAGATATTATTCATAATTAAGTCTTTCATCCAATATGACTGGTATCCTTCTAAGAAAACAGGCAGGCACACAGGGAGATGCCATGTGAAGGTGGAGAGTGAGGTTGGAGTGTTGCATCTACAAGCCCAGGCATGCCTGGGGCTGCTAGAAGCAGGCAGAAACGAGGAAGGATCCTACCACAGAATCTTCAGGTGAACATGGCCCTGTCAGTGCCTGCCTTGATCTCAGACCTCTAGCCTCCAGAACTTTAAGATAATACATTTCTGTTGTTCTGTGCCACCAAGCTTGTGGTACTTTGTTATGGCAGCATTCTAGAAATTCATATGAGGGACAGTCTATAGCAAATACACGATCAAGTCAGCCATTGCTAAATGCATGGAGTCATGCTCCAGGAAGCCACGTAAGGACAACGTGGTCAGGGTAAGAAGGGGAAAAGAGCTTATCCACCAACCCTATCTCTCATCAGTCCAAGGTTTGCTCGAGGGGTGTTACACTCCTGTGCATGCACAAATCACAAGTCATGTCTGGTGCTATCCTGTGTTTTGAACAAGCATTTTAAGGTGTAGAACAAGGTGCTATGAAAACACATCATGAGCTAATTTAATTTAATCTATGGGGTCAGGAAATACTTTTTAAAGAAAGGAATACTTATGCTGAGACTCAAAAGATGAGTAGCTCAGTGACCTTGGGAAAGTCATTATTCATCAAAGCCTCAGAATATTTCCCTGATCCTTCCAAGTTTTCTTCTCAATTTAATCTAAAAAGATTTAATTATTTTTACATTTTTTCAAGTGACTGTTTTTTTTTTTACTTTTCCAAAATTGAAATGCTTTTACTTTTTTTTAATATTGTAAGAGTAAGACTTACCTCATTTAAAAATTATAGTGGTATTGGAGAATATAGCTAAGAAAGAATAGCACTTACAATTTCACCTGCTCAGCGCAAATATAAAGATCATGATGACCTGGGCTATGCTGTAATAGCAGAAAAGAAAAACCCTAACAAATTTAGGGGTTCAGAAGCACAAAGTTTCATTTTGCTTTCTCACTCATGCCATGTCTCTCATGTAGGTGATACAGGGACTCAGTTTTACATTATCCTCATGTAGGGCCCTAGGAGGACCACACTGTGTATGTATCCTTAGAAAAGTTGCTGGTTCCTGTGGAAGAGTGGGGAAAGCATGGTAGGTCACAAACTGGCTCTCGAGGTCTTCCATCTGAAAGTCACACCCATCACCTCATTTCATCTGCCAAAGCAAATGGGATGGCCATGTCAACAACCAAAGGTATTGGAGAAGCCTAATTCCAGAAAGAGGAGAACCAGAACTGTTGGTGAACTGGACTACGACTGCCACCGATAATTCTTTTTTTTTTTAATTTTAATCTTTGTTCAAGTAGAGTTTTCTCCTTTTTACTCCCATTCCAGCCCACCCACGCATCCCTCCCCACTTCCCTCCCATTACCACCCTCCCCCTAGTTTTTGTCCCATGTGTCCTTTAAATTTGTTCCCGTGAGCCCTTCCCATTGTCCCCTGAAATTCCCTCTTCTCTCCCCTCTGGTAACTGTCAGCCTGTCCTCTATTTCAGTGTCTTTGACTATATTTTGCTTGTTTCTTTGTTTTGTTGTTTAGGTTCCTGTTAAAGGTGAGATCATATGGTGTTTGTCTTTCACTGCCTGGCTTGTTTCGCTTAGCATAATGCTTTCCAGCTCCATCCATGCTGTTGCAAAGGGTAGGAGCTCCTTCTTTCTTTCTGCTGCATAGAATTCCATTGTGTAAATGTACCATAGTTTTCTGATCCATTCATTTAGTGATGGGCATCTAGGTTGCTTCCAGCACTAAGCTATTGTAAATTGTGCTGCTATGAACATTGGTGTGCAAAGGTTCTTTTGTACTGGTGTTTTAGGGTTCTTAGGATATAGTCCCAGCAATGGAATTGCTGGGTCAAAAGGCAGATCCATTTTTAGTTTTCTGAGGAAATTCCATACTGTTTTCCATAGTGGTTGTACCAGTCTGCTGTCCCACCAACAGTGCACTAGGGTCCCCTTTTCTCCACAACCTCTTCAACACTTGTTGTTTGTTGCTTTGTTTATGATGGCCATTCTGACTGGTGTGAAGTGGTATCTCATTGTGGTTTTAATTTGCATCTCTCTGATAGCTAGTGATATTGAACATCATTTCATGTGTCTTTGGATCCTCTGTATGTCCTTGGAGAAGTGTCTGTTCCAGTCCTTTGCCCATTTTTTAATTGGGTTGCTTGTCTTCTTAGAGTGGAGTCGTGTAAGTTCTTTATATATTTTGGAGATTAAACCCTTGTCTGAGGTATCATTGGCAAATATGTTTTCCCATGCAGTTGGTTCTCTTTTTATTTTGATACTGTTTTCTTTAGCTGTGCAGAGCTTTTTATTTTGATTCTTACAAACATTTACACATCCAAGATTTGGAGTTTGAGGCTTATTTGTATATTTAGTTGTTTTTGCTGATGTTTGCAGAAGGCAGGAGTGAGAAAGCAACAAACAGTTTTAAAAAAAAACCATGAGGGCAATGAAAAACCATGTACTTTCCATAGATTTTTAAAATTTATATTAGTTCATGTATACTTTTGCAAACTGATGAACATATTGGTCTTTGTAGAGATTTGGTGACTTCAACAGCAATTGCTATTTAGCAATAGCAATACTCCATAGGTTCTCTCCCTCTTTCTCTGTCTCCACTTTAGTGTGAATGACATTGTGGTTCTTGGACCAGAACAGTTCTATGCCACCAGAGACCACTATTTCACCAACTTCTTGTCACTGTTAGAGATGATCATGGACCTTCACTGGACTTACGTTCTTTTCTATAGTCCGAAAGAGGTCAAAATAGTGGCCAAAGGATTTAATTTTGCCAATGGGATCACAATCTCACCAGACAAAAAGTAAGTAAGCTCTTTTTTATGATTTTTCTACCCTTGGGCCTTGACACTTTAGTGGACTCCTTCCCCTAAGAGGTGGGTTACTTCCATAGCTTAAGTAGTCAATACATGTGTGGAGGGATCAGCAGTAGCCAGGGTTTCTACTAACTGTCTGATCTGAAGCAAACCATTTGCCTTTTTGCACCTTAGGCTCCCTTGCCAATGAAATGAGAAATTTGGACTCCAGGATATAAAGTCCTTGTTTCGATTTTTCTTATGCAACTCTAGAAATATACTTAATCTAACACACCAAAAAGGAAAGGAAAGCCACCACACCTCTGCCTCTTATGAGACTGGAAGGCCTTAAACTGCTCATAACTAAGTTCAGTCCCTCGAAAGTTCTCATTAGAAAGAGGGGCCCAATTTAGACTGGATATGGCAATTGTATAAATTTCAGACTTACTGATGCTCTGCAGCAGTTTTCTATGAGAAAATACTTTTTATGAAGCATGCAGTTTTATGGAAAATTCTTTTAAAGTGTTTTAAAATGGAAGGGTTTTTTTTAAAGAGCGGTACCATAAATACATAAATTTGAGACCATGACTAGAGATGATCTCTGTGGAAAACAACTCTAAGTGTTCTTCCTCCTTTTAGAAATGATTGTGATTGAGCTTCATGGTTATCTGGGTTTTTTTGCCAAGGACTAATTTTTGGACGTAGAGACTCTTTTTGTCTTATAAGAGGTCCACTTACTTCCATTCAATTTAAAGGCATTCAATTTAAAGAGTCCCAGATAATGAGACTGAACTTGTATGTCATCTAGAAACACCAATTTCATTACTTTATAGTGACATCACGTGTTCAGAGCATGTTTAAAGCACTTCAAGAATATTAAAAATACCACTCCGTTACACTCCATTATCTTTTTTTTTTTTGGCTATGGTTTAGAAAGCCAGTATAGTGGTGTCTTGAGCTATTGTTAATTTTTATACATGTTATCCCAAATAAAATTTAGTGTTATCTTTTAAAATGACTATAGTACTAATAATACTTTAATAATGCTAATACCACTGAAATGTAAATGTGATTTACTTCAAAGGTATGTCTATGTAGCTGATGTAATGGATAAGAATATCCATGTAATGCAAATACATGGTAACTGGGATTTAACTCAGCTGAAGGTAAAGGTGCCCTGGTTTGCCCACACAATATGGCCTCTTGCATTAGCTTCCATGCTTGATCTAGGAATGTGCTCCTTGAATGAAGAAAACAATTCAAAAAATGATGGTGAAGGTGTGCATGCATTTCTAAAATTCAGTAAATCCATTATTAATACTAATTTTAGAGCCACAAGGAGCTGGTGCAAGGGAGGAGGGGTAAGGAAGAAAGTCAAAACAACATCCTCACTACTTCCTCTCTGTTGGAAGGTAATACAGTTGGACACCTTGGTGGATAACTTAGCTGTCGACCCTGACACAGGAGATATTTGGGCAGGATGCCATCCTAATGCCATGAAGCTGTTTCTCTATAACCCTGATGATCTGCCAGGGTCAGAAGTAAGTTCCTATATTTCTCTGAGCTCACGGGCAAGGCTCTAAGATGAACCATCTGTTGAGATGACTTGGGAGTATCGAGTGGGTCACACATGATGTTCCAGAAATGAACAAATGAACATATGGAATGAGGAAAGATTTTGCCAAGACGAGGGGATATGGCCCATTAACCCTTTCAGGTTACAAGATACCGATTTAACATCAGTGCTAGACAGTGTGCCCCATCCTAGCCAGGGCTATACTTTCCACTGGGAATAGTGGGAAATATGAGCTTGATTATTCATGTTTACCAAGGTTGCTATTCATATTTCCAATCAGGATGGAGGCTCAGAGCGGGCCCTGAGGAGACTGATACACAGAACCACTTTCTTTCACAAGACCAAACATGAAGCTCAGATGAAAGGGTTTAAATGGCTGTAGTCTCAAAACAAAATTAATTTTTTGCCACCAGGTTCTAATATATATGATAGTGTTAAAGACTGTCTCATTTTAAAGATGTTATTTGTGTTATTTAACAACTCTTCTAAAACAATAGCATAGGCCTTTGAATTTTACATGGCATTAAAAACAATAGCTTAATGCATTGCATTTTCCATAGCATTAAGTTTAAGAATAAAAAAATCAAGTGAATTTAAATATAGATATAAATTATTTGCAGATATACTCTGAGATATTTAGTCACAAAATGTGTTGAGCATATATACCAGACTTTGTTTCAATGCTTAGGATATATCAGCAAACAAAATATACAAATATCCTTGTTCTTAGGGAGGGGGGCAAACAATAAATAATAAACATAAGAAACAGTAAATTATATAATAAGCTTGAAGGTGGTAAGTTCTATGGGGAGAAAGTATAAGAAACAGGATCAGAGTAGTGTGAACAGGGGGACAGGCAGGGCCTATGATGAAATAGAGATCAGGGTAGGCAGTAAGGTTTGAACAGAGATACAACTTTTGAATCCAGGTTTGGGCAGTAGGGAAACTGAGATTCAAACCCTAGGCTCGTAACTGACCCATGGATGAATTAGAACACTCAGTTATTTCTGCTTCTAATGCGAGGGGGGATCCCAAAACACTGGGTTTATTTATTAAGTATTGTGTATTTATTCTTACATGTTTAAACTTCAGTCACCTTCAAAGTGCTCTCCATTTGATGCAATACCCCTACTGAGATGTTTTTTCCACTGCTTGAAACAGTTTTTGAACTTGTTGATTTTGATGCCTTTTAGTGCTTCCATCTCTTCCACATTGGCAAAACATTTCCCTTTAAGGACTTTTTTCATCCAGGGAAACAAAAAAAGTAGGTTAGAGAGAGATCAGGTGAATAGTAAGGATGGGGCATGGGGGGGTCATGCCGTCTTTGGTCAAAAACTGCTGAACACTCAGCACAGGTGCTCCTGTAAATCATCCATCATAAAATGGGCAAATGCGTTGAAAGAGTCTTCAAAAAAAATTCATGAAGCTGAACACAGCCTCTCACAACACCACCAGCTGGTACACTGATAGGGATGAGTTCTAGAGCACTCACTCTAGAGCACTGTCCATATAGACTCATGACTTGTGAATTTTGAAGTGGTTTTCTTTAATCCCTATCATGTCCATTTTGAATGAACTTCATCCAGCCTCTTTGGAAACTTGAACACTTTTATTTTTACTAATTAGCAACCTAACGTATGTTTAATCCTGGGGATCCATTAACAGTCTGAGGTAGGGATGAGTCAGATTAAATTCCAAAGCTGCATTCTTTACACTTCCTAGCCACTTCTGGGATATGAGAGGGCTCCAGTCGGGATGACTCCCATCCTACTGGTTACCAGGTGGGGTTGGCTTAGTAACGAGATGTCCCTTTTTCATTTCTCCCTGTGCCTCTGACAAGAATATGTCTAATGTCAGAAAACTAGTCCACTAGACTGCATAGATATCATTAGGACATTAACACTTTCTTCAGAAGAAGAAAAATATGGTTGAAGATACACAAATTTTAGCTCATTGATTTCTGAGAAGTATATCAGTCTTAGAGTATTGGGAAGGAAAACATCACTGATGGCTGTTTGTCCATACAGTGTACTAATAAATTATCTTTTTTTTGGCAGGTTCTTCGCATCCAGAATGTTCTGTCTGAGAAGCCCAAAATAAGCACCGAGTATGCCAATAATGGCTCTGTTCTCCAGGGCAGCACTGTAGCTTCCGTGTACAAAAGGACACTTCTCATAGGCACCATATATCACAAAGCTCTGCGCTGTGTGCTCTAGACTCTGGATGATCCCAAAAGGCTATGTGTTTGGTTAAAGTAAACCCCTCATTCTGTAAGAAGTAGAACTGCAAGTAAACGGCAAATGCCAACAAAAGCGTGCCTGGCTTTTCTTATTGGTAGAAGTTAAGAAACAGAAAGGTTACCTAGTATTCAGCAAATTGAAAGTCAAGATAGTGACAGTTCAACAATAAGCCAAGTTTCTCAACTCGTTTTGTCTAGTCCCCCTGGTGTTCTTTCCACAGGAAGATGTGGTGAGTGACGTGGCCAGGTCCCCTAGACTCCTCGGCAGCTGTGGCAAAACCACCCCCTAGAACTGTCATGTTCTGAGCCACCCACCATCCAGGCCGGGAGAAAAGCTGATGTTCAAATATTTATGACCCCCTTCTCTTCCTTCAATTGTGCTAGGCACAAACTGCCAATCAAATGCCCAGCATGTGGATAAAAGCAAGATTTGGCATCATGGGACTCCCCCCAAAACTCAAACTTTCATTCTCCCCCTAGTGCAGACACAGGAATCAGGGGCTGCGAAGTCTGACGGAGAGAGGCCTCACTTAGAGCAAGCGGGGCTGACCTCCTCCTTTGTAACCAGCCTTTATTTGTGCAATGGTTGCCCCATATCCATGGATTTCACTTTCCATGGTTTAAGTTACCTGTGGTCATTTACAGTCCAAAAACATTACATGAAAATTTCCAGAAATAAACAAAAGTTTTAAATGGCATGACATTCTGAGTAGCAGGATGGAATCTTGGGCCATCCATTCCCTGCTACCCCAGATGTGAGTTGTCCCTTTGTCCAGCGTCTCCGCACTGCACATTCTCCCTGCCTGCTAATCACTCAGTGACCTCTGGCTTATCACGTCCACTGTCACGTGGTATCATAGTGCTGGTGTTGCAGTAACCCTTATTTTACCTAACAGTGGCCCCAGAGCTCTTCACCTAACTTTTATTACAGTATACTTTTAAAGATTGTTCTATTTTATTATTCAATATTGTTAGTCTCTTGCTGTGCCTAATTTATAAATTAAACTTTATAATACAGTGGTTGGAAAAAGTAGGTTTACGGTCATAATGCACATAAGTTATACAATAATAAATTATACAATAAATTATACAATAAATAAATTATACCATAAATAATAATGCAAGAATAAACTGTTTTGCATATTGACAAGTGTAAACCTACTTCTACTTAACACTGTAAGTTTGTATGTGTAGGACAAAACACAGTATGTACTGGGTTCCATACTCTCCACAGTTCCAGGTGTACACTAGGGGTTTTGGAACATATGCCCCACAGATAGGGAGATACTATTCCAGTGATTTCTGAATCTGAAGTATGATAATCAGCTTGGCTCCAAACCAATGAGATGCAGCCTCAGCAAAGTTACCTTTGAGTGCTTTAGACTTGCTCTCCTGGGTAATGCAACAAACACTTCCTTATTAAGCAATGTCCTGTAGAGTTGGATCTGAGAAATCAGAAATAGCATGGTTCTGGCTTCAAGTTCTGTCTTAAGGACCATCTCTACCTTAGTTTTATTAGAATGGATAGAAATGTCCCTTTCTTGGTCAAAAACCAGGATAGCCTTTAGCAAATCATTGATGGGAACCAGCATTCCCAAGCACCCCACCCCTTCCCTTTCTCTCATTGGGAAGTGGTTGGTTTGTTTTTTTATTTTTCCTCTCTTTCTTCTGAGAATGGAGAGTTGGGGGAACCTCTTTATCTCCTAAGAAATTTTGCATAGTTGGATGAAAAGTTTTGCAGCAGGGTAAAACTCCACTTTTTAGCCCATGTAACTCTTCCTGATTTAGAGTAAGATCAAAGTTTCTGGTGCTTCAGGGGAGGGATAACTCAGAAGACCGCTACAGTCTGTTCTTGGATTTTAAGTTCCAAAAGCTTAACAATCAGGTGGACACTGAAAAAAATAATAACTAAGCATGTATACCAGTTTTGAAAAATATATTCTTTTTTCCCCTGTCCCCACTAGTTTAGGTAACATTGACCAGATTAAGAGAAAGCTGAGGGCATTCAGATGTGGGGAGTTCCTCACCGTGGGCTCTGCCCCACCTTCTCCCCAGGCCAAGTTAGGAAAGAGTGCCTGATAACCCCCCAGAGAGATGTGGGAGTCTGACTGCTGAGGGAGCAGTACGTGCTTGCACAGGGAGGGCCTAGGAAAGTCACCAGGCACTGGGGTGCCTCTGCATGTAGACACCCCGATCTTTATGGGATTATCTTGAGCCTCTTCTCTCCCTTGGCTTGGGAAGGAGAGGGATAGCCCCTCAAAACAAATGCTGTGCTTGCTTTGAGGACACATTGTCTTCCCTTCCCCAGTCTTTCTGTTCAAATTGTCAGAGACATGGGTGTGAATACTAGGGTAATGATTAGGAGGGGCAGCTGAGCTCAGGAAAAAGACTAGTAAAAATAAGAGCAAAAACCAATGTGGTAGAAACTACAGTAATGCCCCCGTGAGCCTTCACTCCTGGTACTCATTCCTGTGTGGATCTCCGTCCCGCATTCAACACAGCTGAGCTGTGTGGATAATACATACAGTAGAAACGATGATCTGTGACTGCTAAGGGTAGCTTACATAAAACACTTGTCACTGCTATCTTGCTCACAAAAACTACAGCCCGTGATTTGTTTCCTCAATTCTAGTCAAACCACACATTTAATATCATTTTCAGAATCCCACCTCTAGTTTCAAATTGTTATCACACTAAGGTACTGTAACAAAGTGACTCCAAATAAAGTGGCTTCAAGAATATAGACAAATTGGGGACTTCCAGCCAAGATGGAGGCATACATAGGTAGACACACTGTGCCTCCTTGCACAACCAAAAGAAGGCCAACAACAATTTGAAAACCAAAAACAACCGGAATTGAGAGAAAATCAAACTGTATGGAAGTCTGACAACCAAGGAGTTAAAGAAGACACATTCATCCAGATGGGTAAGAGGGGTGGAGACAGGCAGCTGGGGTGGAGAGGACTCACTGCAAGGCAGCAGCTGGTGAACCCAGCGACGCAAAGGATTGTGGAGTGGGGAGCGCAAGGCTGCAGCTGGCGGGTGAGGCAGCAGTGGACTCAGCGGTCTTAACATCCTCACGCAGATGAACCAGGTGAAACGAAGGGGGAGTGGGATTGACTGTGCTGCCCAGGGCCCCAGCTTGGGGAAATAAAGCCTCAAACCACTGATTGAAAACACCTGTGAGGGTGAGGCAGTAGGAGAAACTCCCAGCCTCGCAGGAGAGTTCGTTGGAGAGACCCAAAGGGTCCTAGAACATACACAAGCCCACCCACCTGGGAATCAGCACCAGAAGGGCCCAGTTTGCTTGGGGGAAGCAGGGGGAGTGACTGAAAGCCAGCAGAGTGGAGCAAGCGCTATTGTTCCCACTCAGACCCCACCCCACATACAGCATCACAACCCAGCGGCATGGGTTGTCCCACCCTGGTGAACACCTAAGGCTCCGCCCCTCACTATCTAACAGGTATGTCAAAACCAAAAAAAAAAAAAAGACCCAAATGAAAGAACAGATCAAAGCTCCAGAAAAAATAGAACTAAGTGACAAAGAGATAGCCAACGTATCAGATGCACAGTTCAAAGCACTGGTAATCAGGATGCTCACAGAATTGATTGAATTTGGTCACAAATTAGATGAAAAGATGAAGGCTACACTAAGTGAAATAAAGAAAAGTGTAGAGGAACTCAATAGTGATGGGAAGGAAACTGGGACTCAAATCAATAGTGTGGACCAGAAGGAAGAAAGAAACATCCAATCAGCAAAGAATAAAGAAACAAGAATTCAAAAAAATGAGGAGAGGCTTAGGAGCCTCCAGGACATCTTTAAACATTCCAACATCCAAATTATAGGAGTACCAGAAGGAGAAGAGGAAGAGCAACAAGTGGAAAACTTACTTGAACAAATAATGAAGGAGAACTTCCCCAATCTGGCAAAGGAAATAGACTTTCAGGAAGTCCAGGAAGCTCAGAGAGTCCCTAAGAAGTTGGACCCAAGGAGGAACACTCCAAGGCATATCATAATTACATTGCCCAAGATTAAAATGAAGGAGAGAAGCCTAGAAGCCGCAAGAGAAAAGGAGACAGTTACCTACAAAGGAGTTCCCATCAGGCTGTCAGCTGATTTCTCAAAAGAGACCTTGCAGGCAAGAAGGAGCTGGAAAGAAGTATTCCAAGTCATGAAAGACAAGGACCTACATCCAAGATTACTCTGTCCCGTAAAGCTTTCATTTAGAATGGAAGAGCAGATAAAGTGCTTCTCAGATAAGGTCAAGTTAAAGGAGTTCATCATCACCAAGCCCTTATTATATGAAATGTTCAAGGGATTTGTCTAAGAAAAAGAAGATAAAAAATGTGAACAGTAAAAAGATAGCAAACTCACAGTTATTAACAACCACTCCTAAAATAAAAACAAAAACAAACTAAGCAAACAACTAGAACAGGAACAGAACCACAGAAATGGAGATCACATAGAATGTTATCAACAGGGGATTGGGAGGGGGAGAAAGGGGGAAAGGTACAGAGAATAAGTAGCATAAATGGTAGGTAGAAAATAGACAGGAGGAGGTTAAGAATAGAATGGGAAATGTAGAAGCCAAAGAACTTATATGCATGACACATGGACATGAACTAAAGGGTGGGGTAATGTGGGTGGGAGGGTGTGTGCAGGGTGGAGGGGAGTGAAGGGGGGGATGGGACAACTCTAATAGCATAATAATAAAATATATTTTAAAATATATAGACAAATTGCTTCCACTGGCATTCTATTAATATGAGCGTAGATATATGGCTATACCTAGTTGGAAGGGAGGCTGGGAAATTTAATTTATCTGGGTATCCTTGGACCCAGGAAGGAGGGATTTGGGTAGGTAGCTAGTGTTCACAACCACAGCTCCTTAAAAATGACTCAAAAACAGTTTGGAAATCATAATTCTAAAACCATTAAAGAAGTGGAGTTAGTAATTTAACAATCTTTACATTAAAGGAAATTAAATCTAGAGACAATCAAGTGTTATAAGGATAAAGTAGATAAGTAACATAATTCACATAAGGAAATACTATACAGCGATGTATATAACA